GGTCCGAAGAGTCCAGGCCAACGATCTCTCCGCATCGTCCAGAAACTGGAGCGCTGGAGGATCCGAAGACTATATCAATTCCGATGCGATGATCTCGGCGAATCTCCTCAGAATGATAAATGACGATTAATGGGCGAGGGACTCAAGTATGCAAATGTCACTTAAGAGTACCATTTTGCCCCATATTCGAGTCGGTCCTCCGTCAAGAGCGTCGTAGCGTCACAGGGAAATTCCTGGGGCTCGCGCGCTTCAATGTCATGATTTTCGGGGTCTCGTCTTCCAAGAAGTTTTAAATTAATCCATTGAATCCTTGAGGGAACTTTACTGAGCTAGAAGAGCACTCATTTGAGGCTTCAATTCGCTCTGGAAAGAGGAAAAACCGCCATGTGCACGACAGCGTCACCCACGGCACGTGAGGCGCATGTGTGCACTTGTGGGCCTGTTTTATCCACTTTTCCCCACTAAAAATTGGCACTGGACATTCCCAATGCGTTCTCGAGAGTGCTAGTAAACTAATTATGCACTCAGAAGGTGCATTAATTGTTTACAAGACCTCCTGGTGAGTGGAGAGGGCACAATGGCGCCATGGCAGGGCATGGGCCATGTACGGCCTATTATTGGGTCTCACTGTCCATTTTCAGNCTGTTTTATCCACTTTTCCCCACTAAAAATTGGCACTGGACATTCCCAATGCGTTCTCGAGAGTGCTAGTAAACTAATTATGCACTCAGAAGGTGCATTAATTGTTTACAAGACCTCCTGGTGAGTGGAGAGGGCACAATGGCGCCATGGCAGGGCATGGGCCATGTGCGGCCTTTTATTGGGTCTCACTGTCCATTTTCACTATCTATTGGGTTTCACTGGGGTTTTATCACTCGGGAGAGGTCTGGAGAGCTGAACGAGGGTTTTATGCACTCAGTGGTGCATTTATCCACCCGCTCAGAGGAGTTTTGGAGGTTGGGAATGCATCTCGGCGTCACTCTTGTGAACGCCGGTGCACTTTTCCCGGAGATCGTCACTGGGCACATTGGGAATAAATGCACTTCTCTCCTCGAGAGAGAGTGCACATGGTGAATGAAAATGTACTTACCATGTCCCTCGTGTGGGCCCTCGGCGATGGTCTCTACCAACTCTCTCGATCGCTGTCAATGTTCTCGGGGATGTTATCGTAGTGGTTGCTCGGGTCCAACTCTCTCGTAAACTGCGTCTAACCGGTGGAGGTTCTCAGCTGGGTGGCGCGACTGGCACGCCGTCTAGCTGCCGCTGGGGCGGGCTCATGTAACCGAGCACGCGGGGATTTTGATTCAAATGGGTTTTAGACTTATTTTAGGCATTCCGCCGTTAATTATATCTTTTATGAATTAACCCAAAGGGTTTTATCCATAGTGGCTGAACCATAGTTATCTGGGGGTTCGGAAAGGGGGAATTAAGGTAGTTGTTCGCCTTTTCTCCTCGCGAATGTACTTCACCCCTGAGTGAGTGCACTTTTCGCTGCTGTCACTCACCCGGGAGTCATCCTGGAGTCACCGTGAACAAATCTAAAGAGAGAATAGCCCATGGCGATCCATGCAGACGAGTGGGCTATGTTCATCCACATGGCCTTCCAGCTGCACTGGTGATTCCAACGACTCCACGAAATGCTTTAGCCAGGGAGCGTGAGTATTTCACCTCAACCTCTGTGATCAGCAGCCGTACTCAACGAGATCAGCGAGATCTCACCGGGAAGCTCGGTGTATCGGCTCTGAACCGCGGTGGATCGTCGTCCCTCTCAGGATTCGCGAGATTTCAGAATACAAAAATATAACTAGGAAAATACAATTACTGTAAATTTTCCCTCAACCATAAAACCGGAAATTTTTCCCCTAAAATCCGAAGTAAACCAGAAAGATAACTGAAACTAAAAGAGAACAAAAACTTCAATATTACTTGAACCCGAGATTTTACTTTTTACTCGTTTTTAATGTGTATCGACACGCGAATTTGATTATTTATAGAAATCGAACGTTGTTTTCCCCGCGAGGCCCTTCCTGATGTTCTTGGAGACCGGTTTCTATGAGCTGGAGCTAAAAGGGGTGTTGCATCGCCCTTCGGTAGGGGTGCTAACTTTGGGGTTAAAGGAATCGCGACTCTCTCTCCGAAAAGATCAAAATAAATTCACACTTACCTACTCACTCTTACGATTTACTTAATTCTACGACTAAGTTGTGTACAGGTGGCGGAATTCTCGAAAATTTCGTCACAGGCCTCCCTCCTTCTCGTTCCCTATCCATTGTTGTCCGTGCGTCTGGGGTTGAGGTGATAGTCTCTCGGTTGGTCTAGGCTCCACTAGCCGTGCGAACGTCTGATGGAGTGGAAGAGAAGAGAGAAGTGTGCTGGAAATAAAAGAGAAACCGAACCCACGCCCCTAAACCTGGGGTCGACAGAAAATGTAGGCTACACGCTAATCTTCCTTGGAAAATACGGAGCTCCTTTTATTCTCCTCTCTCAGGGAGGTACAGTTTACCCTATCCTAATTCTTATTGAATACTATATGGTGCTTATGACTACGTCAGGTAGAGAGTCGCAGTCCATCTGGAAGCCTGAGGCTTCAGTCGTGGCTTCTTCGAGGACTGAAACTATCACAGCTAGTACAGTCCATGGGGCTTTGACGGCTTGGGGTCTGAGCTTATTCCGTTCCGAGGAAAAGCTCTCTGGACTTGAAGATGATGCTCGTGAATTGGAGTCTTGCTGATTGAGGAGCGGTAGGGGTCCGCTGCGACTCAATCGGAGAGGTGAGCGTTTTGGGGCCACTACTCAGTTGAGGGGCTCCTTTCGGGGTGGTTGGACTTACGGATGGGGGGAATCTGCCCCCTGGCCGGCCACTGCCTATGGGCACCTAGTGCCTTCTCGAGGACTCGTATCCTCGTCGCGGCGGAGACCGACGTGGTGAATCTTGGCGTTGACGACGGTTATCCTCATGACGACGCTGCTCGTGACCTCGCCGGTCCCCGTGGCGGTCATCACCTCTCTCTGGTCGATCGGGGGAGTAGTGTTCTTCCTCCGAGCGTCGCCTTCGAGGCTCATCGTCACGGGCACCTCCAGGGGGTGAACCTCATCTCCTTGGTGAGCTGGATGGTCGGTCTTCCCTCATGTAGCTCTCTGTCAGCTGCTGAGTGAGGGCTTTCACGAGGCTCAGCATAGCCTCGGTGGAGGGGTTTGGTGAGCGCTTCTGCTCTGACTCAGTTGAGTGGTCAGAGAAGCGTTTTTGCCTGGGGGATCGTCGCCTCGACGGGGAATGCCTTCGCCTTGGCGAAGGATCTCGTCGAGGTCGTGGAGATGTTGGCCGAGTTCTCTGGGTCGGTCTCTCGGGGGATCGTCGACGTGGGGATCGACGAGCCTGAGAGGGTTCCTGGCGAGGTCTCTCGAGTTTCGCCCTCCATGAGGTACGCTGAGGGTCCTTCGATTGGGAAGCAGGGACTATTCTCCATTCGCCTCCGAGGGGCGAGGGACTGCGGTTGGTGTGTGCCATGTGTCGGTACTGCAGCCTTCCCCTGCCTCTTCCTTTACTCAGGGCTGCACAATGCATGTCCCACTGAGGTTCAGGCATGGGTGGTGGAGGTCCTGCTGAGATTTTTGGGGGTGGTTGCATTACCTGAGGGGGTGCTACCTGTGGGGGTGCTGCCTGTAGGGTAGGAGCACTCTGCCCAGTTGGTGCACCGGCCGTTGAGGCGGCGGCGGCTGCGGCTTGGCGTGCGATAGCTGCCTCGATTCGCTTCTGCCTGCCTCCCCTCCTTGTGGGTCTCTTCCTCTTCCCTGGAGCTTCGGTGCTGAGTATCTCCTCGTTGTCCCAGTCATCTAGGGGTGAGGAGTATAGAAGGTATAAGGGGTGAGGGCGATCTGGTCGGGTCGCCTGACTCTCCCTCCGGTGGGTCGCTCGAACCTCTCGCCACCTCATCTCCTCCTCCACTTGATCGGCCCAGGAGGTGGAAAGCGGATGGTTAGGTGAGGGCCAGAGAGGCGGTACTACCCCGGGGGTGGCTCTCTCAGCTGAGGATCCTATCGTGGCGGTCGTGGAGTCCGCCAAGGTCTTGGGTTTCCTGATGGCTCCCGTGGACGCTGCGGGTCCCGGGTTTTGATGAGCTGGGGGTGCTACCGGCTTCGGGGGTGCCCCTCCACTACTGGACGCTCCGGTGAGTACCTCCAGCTGGAGGTCATCCTCCGTCACGTCCATCAGGAGGAGGTCGGAGTTTGAGTCGACCTCTGGAGTCGAGGAGTTCGGGGGCTTGAACTCACTCAACGTCATTGTGTGTAGGCGGTTAAGAGGGATTGAGACCTAGATTTCTGGGCGTCCTTCTGGCTGCTTTGGTCGCCGAACATCTCGGAGGCGCGGGGCCGGTTGAAATGAGGCGACTTCTGTCGTTGGGGTCTCTTCTCCCTTTTTAATGGGCTGGGCTTCCGCTATCTGGGCGCTAGCACGATGCTCACACTCCAACTTCTTCCCCCGGGAGCCTGCTGAGTTTTCCCGGTCCCGCCTCGGTGAGCGTGATGTAGTAGAGTTGTCGGAGGAGCTGTCTTCACTGCTGCTACTGCTGCTGGAGCTCGAGCTACTGCTGCTCGAGCTGCCACTGGTGCTAGGCTCCGGGAATTGAGGCACTCTAGTCCTGCCAGTAGCCAGGCGCAAGGTGCCTTTCAGAGCCCGAATGAGTCCTGGTAGCTTCCTGTCGAGCCTCCACAGGGAGTCCTTGTAGGGCTCCAACTTGCGCCACACCGAGGAGTCCAGCTCCCGGGGCTGCTTCGATGGAGACCTTCTGGACGCTTTGATGTGTCGGCCCCTTGGACGTGGGGAACTTGTGGCTTGGTCTCGGGGTTGAGGGTCACTGGGAATGGTATCCTGGACGGTCTCCGCGGAGGAGTACTGGGAGCTCGATGATGTTGACTCGCCAGATGTCAAGTCCTTCTCACCAGTTTGCTCATGGTTAGAGTTGTCCAGGGAGCTGGCTTCACTCCGCTCACCTGGGATTATAGATGGGGCTGACAGGGGGCTAGATGTGACCTGCTCACCTGCAGCTATCCCTCTATCCTCTTCCTGAATCTACATGGGGCTAGACTGTTGTTCGTTTGCTGGGACTTTCCCACTTTCCCCCTCCAGAAGTTGATTTTGCCCTTGTGAGCTACTCTCATCTCCTTTTGGGGTCCCTGGGGCCACTGGAGTGGTTGGAGGTGTCATCAGGGAGCTAGGCTTATCCTGCTCACCTGAATACTTCCCCAGGTCATCCAGGGAATCAGATGTTGGGGCGTCAGTCTCCATGATCTCGAGGGGATTGAGAATGATTTTGTGGGTGGCCTCCTGAGTTTTCTCGGTGTTGAAGAGTGCTGACTTCTCTGTCGCATCTTCTTGAACAACCAAGACCACTTGGGGTTCAGGGTCTTCCTCGAGGAGTTGACTTGGCGGATGTTCGGGAACTCGTCTGGGATCCTCCAGCAGGGTTGGCCGGGTCTTTACCTCTACTTCCCCGGTGTCCTTTCTCTTGTCCTTGACCCATCTCTTCTTCTTTTTCTCCTTCGGCGCCTCCCTAGGCAGCTACTTATCACCCTACAATCAATTCCAAAATAATTTAAACAAAATGAGGAACGAGTTATACTTAAATATTAGGGGTGAAGAAGAGGTAGGTTAGAGGAACAAGGTGTAGGGGTTTCTTTGGATGTTACTACTCTTGTTCCAGAGGGGGAGTATAGGGTTTCAAGTCTTGAATCGACGAAACTCCCTTTTTCCGTCCACCCAGATCTACTAGCTCATATCGCGTGCTCGACAATTTTTTCTCGATCACATACGGGCCAT